TTTGAGACAGGGTCTCCCTGTAGCCCCAGCTGTCCTGGAACTCACTATGTAGACCAGGCTGGCCTGAACTCACAGAAATCCACCTGCCTCTGCCTCTGCCTCCCGAGTGCTGGGATTAAAGGTGTGTGCCACCACGCTCAGCATTATGATGACATTTTTAATTATTTTATTTGTATGTGTGTATTACCTGCATGTAGGTAAGTGAGCCCCGTGTGGTGTAACACCCGCAAAGGACAAAAGAAGCTGTCAGATCCCCTGGAACTGGAGTTACAAACAGTTGTCAGCTGCCATGTGGGTGCTGGGATTTGAACCCGGGTCTTCTGTGAGAACAGCTAGTGTTCTTAACCACTGAGCAATCTCTCCAGCCCCAAGATTTTTTTGTTGTTTTTGAACAGAAAAATCTAGATGTGTTCAGCACACAGTAAGCATGCAACTGATTTACTGAAAAGTGTGTGCTGAACAGCTATTATGTGAGAGTAGATTTTCAGGAATTAGCAAGGGTACATTTTTTCTGAGGGGAGAAAGGACTTCAGAAGCTCCATGACTACTATAAGGTTATGAGTTCTTCAGCTGTATCCTTAGGCCCAAATGCAGTGACCAAAATGGGTCAAGTCACCAAAATGACTAGGCATCTACATTTCCCAGGTTATCAGGCATGTTGGAAAAGGGCTGGAGTGCAGTTTCCTTCTGGGCTGTCACTGTGGCTCAGTGCTTTAGGAGTGGACATCTACCACCAGGGAGTTTATGAAAGCCAGCACCTATACCCCAGTTTTCACTTCCATTAAGCTGAAGAAACCTCTGTGGTGGCATGCAAGATCAGGAGGCGCTGCTTTGAGTTTTCCTTAGCTCTTAATGAGTGTGTGTGTACACACCTCACTTTTTATCATACACACACAGACACAGAGACAGACAGACAGACAGACAGACAGACAGACACACACACACACACACACATGGTGTCAGCGTAAGCAGAAGAGTCCAGAGTCACTGGATGTGAACCGGAACATTCTCCCAGAGCACAGACCTGGTGGTTTCTTATTCAACAACAATGAAGAAGCAGGTATTTTAAAATAAAGTTTGAAAGAAGAATGTCCTTCATATTTCTGAAAACTTCTACACCCTTGAAGGCCAAAAAGCCTCTTATTTGTAGGGCTGGCACCAAAAATGAAAGGTTCCCCTAGCTCCTGGAGACAAGCTCAAGTAAGCAGTGAGTATTTACAACATTCACTAAAGCATGGGGATAAGGCAATTTTGACATCTCTTTGAAAAATAATTCATGGAAAGCTGGGTTCAAAACTGGCTGCAATGGTTCCTAGCTGGACAACTGCAGACAAATGACATGCCCTCTGTACATCTAGAGAGGGTCTGGCTCACAGTTACTCCTTAGGCTACTTCCTTTCCCTGGCTGGCAGAGCTGAGAAGGCAAGCACTTCTTGGAATTGCTCTGGATTTAATGATAGCAAATCAAAGAGCAAATTCCTCTTAGCATCCATAAACTCAATATTTGGAAAGCAGCCAGGACTTGCTTTGAGTATCTGACTCATTCTGGAGACATTCATTTACCTTTATCGCTTGATGACTTCTCTCTAGGGATTTAGTCAGATCCTGATGTTCACAGACGGGTCAGGACACAACACTGAACACTCTAACTCACAATGACCTGGCAGGTGGGAAGCCTTATGGTGATAGGGCATAAGGACAAGCAGCAGACCCTCACTCTGGTGGGGAAGCTGGTGCCACTGTAGGAAGCATCCTAGTTCTAACATTGATAAATGCTACCAGCAGGAACTTAGGAACCTGGGCAGGAGCTGCTGTGCTGTGGTTAATGTTTCCCTGGTTAAAGTTTTATCAGGTGCTGAAGACAGCAGGAGCCCATAAAGCAAGTCTGAAATCCTTCCTAAGTAAAAGCATAAGCGCTTTCCTTGAGGATTACACACATATGATAATTTACTGAGACAGTTGGCACATATTTTTATATATGTTTATAGCCACTGCATAAATGCATGGATTCTCCAAATACTGATTTACGGTAATAGCATGATTAGGTATGGAGAGCCAATGATCTGTCCATTACTAACACACAGTTACCATTTGAAGATCAAACAGTGATTAGTGTGGAAGGACAAGTCTTTTCAATCTTCTGATAGTCTACATTCTTTCAAGAGTGGTTCTTGGTCCTTCTTTATAGGATATAGTTGGAGACTATAACCAGTGGTATGTTAGATTCTCCAGTCATGAATAAGTAAGCATCAACATTGTCTTAGCCACTTACTAGCCACCAGTTTGAGAAAAAGCATTTTGTTGTTGTTGCTTTTTTGAGACAGGGTCTCCTGTAGCCCCAGGTGGCCTAGAACTTGCTATGTAGACCAGGCTGGCCTTGATCTCACAGAGATCTGTCTGCCTCTGTCTCTGCCTCTGGAGTGTTGGGATTAAAGGTGTGCGCCATCAAGCCCACCTTAAGAAAGACCATTTTTTAAACAGTTCAGACTCCTCTCTATCCCAGTATCCTTACATGTGCAGGGAGCTAGGGTAACACTAACCTAGAAGCATGCTTGGCAGCTTCCTGGCCTCAAAGGAATAAATAACTTCACAGCATGCACAGGGTTGACAAAGATATAAATAGGACTCCTACAGGAAGCATGTTGTTTCTGCCTCAGAACACGAACACACACGAACACACACACACACACACACACACACACACACACACACACACACAATTAATTGGTCCTAAAGCTTTGTGATAGGTACACAGGTCATAGGCAGGCAAGTAGGCAGGCAGAGGGCAATTTCCCCCAAGGTAGACTCCCTGGATCTGCCTCAGAGGCACTGCAAGTGTAGACCTTGGTCAGCAGCAACTCCAAGGCTGCTTAGATACAGTTCCAACAGTATTCTTCAAAGTGAACATGGAAGTATCAAAAGGCAGAGAAGAGGGAACACAGTGCCCACTTGCAAGCAAATGTTACCTTCCAAGTCTCCTATTTCATCTTAACAGTTTAAGTGTATGAACATTCCATTCCATAACATAATTGTTTTATGAAAAAAGTAAGGTTATCCTCTGACTTCAAATCATTTGTTAAGAAAAACAGATGTTTCAAGAAGAAGATACATGTGTACGAGTTTACAGTTTGGTATCCTTGGGCATGTAATTGCTTCCTTGGTGGTCAAAGTTTGGTTGTAAGAAACTGTGATCTGGGAGTGGAAGGCGGCCAGGGAATCCAACTCCAGGTATGTCTGCTCCTGTTACTTGAGAGTCAGGATATGGGAGGTAAGCTAAGGGTCTGCTGGACGGGGAGGGAGGATTCCAGTTGTAATAAAGGAAGGAATGTTTGCTAGAAGATGAAGCTGAATCCAGCCAGCTAGGGAGTGGCAAGAATTCTTCTCACAGTGCACTGAAGTCACCTTACGCTAACCTGGGGGTAGGACTGGAAAAATCCTACAATGAAAATTCCCACTTGGCAATACACATTCCAGTCTTTCATGTTGTGACAAGCCCTTAAAACCAGTAGAGCTCACCCAAGTAATTCAGGTTTTATCAGATGCTTTAGTGACCATCTTGAAAACTTGGATAATCTGAATTCTGAAACACTGGTTTCAGCCAGATTTTTTTGCCCCCACCACCCCATCATTTCCCTTTTACCTCTTCAATGATTTTTTTTCATTTCCATAGCAGTGAAGTGAATTATGAATCTGAAGTTCTGGATAACCTCACATTCTAAAGATATCTCTATTTTTCTAGTGTTAAACTCTTTCTCCAACCCCATTTTCAAGTCAGTCATCCTTAATTCCTTTGCACAAAGGTAGAACTGGTCTATGAGAAACTAACTACACAATCCAGCTCCACTTTGCCCTCATTTGCTTCACGCTTCAGTATGAACAGAAAGGGCTTTCTGTTGTAGGTAGACAAAAGCCTCTGATTCTTTTCCAGATCTTTCTAAGGAAATGATACCATTGACTTACACAATATTACAGGGATTGGCTTTCCTGAGGAAGTTCAAAGCAGCCATTGAGGGGCTACCCGAAGAACCCTCCAGATTGATCAAAGGGGCTTTTTCCTTGACCTAGCACAAGAGAACAAGGAGCATACAGCCAGTAAGCATAAACTGGTTATCCCTTGGAGATATGTGCCTGCTGTGGACCTAGGGACATATCCAGTGGAAGGACATTTGTTGCTGGGCAGCTTTCACAGAAATCAGAAGCCATTACATACACGCTGTCACATACACACGGGGAAGGGGTGATTTTCCATGGGGAATGGTAAGCCTTCATGTATCCTCTTCTTCACTGGCACCACTACAAAGAAAAAGGAGAACCAGATGAGTTAAGGTATCACAGAAACTGAGGCAACACAGTACATGGATTGATGATATCAGCTGTCTCATCAAGACAAATCTGGACTCTCCTTTTGGTCCTAAAAACCAGGACTGACCAGTAGGGCCACAGGTGAGTGCCTTAGTTTCTCTGAATTCTGATTTCTATTTAACTATAGGAAGAATGAAAATAAAAAACTTACTATCCCGTGTTATTAGAGGGTTAAATAAAAATACTTGTAAAATACACAGCATCCGGTATTCAATAAGTATTGGGAGGGTCATCAGCTTTTAAAAATTTAATTAACAAAATAAACTGAAGGTGGAAATCAGGAGTTTGATTTCCTCTAAGTGTTAAGTCACCTACCATTAGGACAGAAAAACAAGGAGAAGCAATCAATGGCTTCTTCACAGGAGTAAGAGCCAAGTTCTCACTTGTGCCATAGTCAGTATCCAGAGAAGGTACTCTACCTAAGTAGGACTCACTGATTGTTCTCTCTGTGTATCTCACTTCCTTCCCAGGTCTTACCAGATTCTATTATTTTGCAACTTATTCTCCCCCACCACCAGAGTATATGAGAGTACAATAATACTATTTTACAAATGACTGCATATCAGTAGTTGTACACTGAAGAACACACAGAAGTTTCAACCGTGACTTCTAAAAAGTAAAGTAACAATAGGAAGAGAAGACAGGAGGGATAGAGTTGAAAAAAAGACCCAGCCATTATTGCTATAACCAGAGCATTCCAGATGTCAATGTATCAGTGGCCAAAACATACACATACAGTGCCAAAGGCATGGCTAGTACTGCAGCTGCTGGGTTAAAGCACCTCTGGTCTGGTCCTAAACAGAACACCATCATAGCAGACAGAGACAAGAAGGAAGTTCCAGAAAAAGAAAGGTAGCAGGGGGTGAGCACACTTAGAGGGAAAAAGTAGTAAGCCTGCCTACATTTTTCTCCTCCACATCTAGAGGTCTTTAAAACAGCTTGACCTGATGTTTACCGTGAACCAGGGGACTCTGAGTTTGGTTTTGTTCACCCAACCTTTCCATCATGCCTCACTCCAATCCTAGATCTGGAATTCTATGTCCCCATTGTGCAGATGAAGAGAATGAAGCTCTGAGAGATGCAAATCCAACTAGGTCCTTAAGATCAACGTTTCATTTTGGCTGAAATCTAAAACAGTCGACCTGGTACAGGAGAAAAGGTTTTCAGTGCATCAGCTCCTAGCCATCACCTAGAAATTTCTCATTTCACAAGGGATTATCTTTGTCTATATAAGACCTATCTTCTTTGTATCAATCTGGGAGAGCCTGTAAGAAAAATATCCTAGGCAGTGGACCTCTAGTAATCTTCTAAGGGTGCAAACACTTAAGACAAGGGTCAACGGGTTAAGGTAAATGAGTCTTTGAAGCTAGAAGCCTCAACTCAGTGATCTTCCCCATGCCAATCTCTGCCCTATTTCTATTTTCTTTTCCTGTTGGTTGTCCAGTCATGGAATAAAGAGTGCATGTAGGAAGGGCTGGCCAATGGACTGTTTTTAAAGCAGTATTTGGTGGCATCTGTCCCAAAGGGAACAAAGGGGCTTTTACAAAAGCTTTTAGTCAGAATCAAAGCAGAACTGAAACTGGTATTATATCCAGAGCAAGCTTCTTTTTGTTTTCCCACCAGTACGACTTCTAATATGAGAGGCTGGGTGGTTGTTATGGCCTTTACTTAAGATGCAGTTCACTTTTTAGCATTCTTGGGATAACATAAGGGGTTCATGAACCTACTGAAACTGTATTCAGAATTTTGTATGTGTGTCCCTTTGTCTTTCTCAAAGGCTATGATTTTCATCATAGTCTTAAAGAGGTCAACAACCCCACCCCCAAATATCAAATTATACATAAATTATTTTCCAGTTGTCAGATCCTTTACTATAAAGCTTGGAGAGTAGCTTAGGGAAAAGGTCAGAACTCATGACTGACAAAAATCTATTCTCATTACCCTAAGAGAGATGTGTTCCTGGGCCTGAAAGATAGTTTCTCTCACAGTTTAAAGCACAAGACCTTGTGGCTCTGACATATCATTTACTGATTTCCTCAACTGCTAAGTATTTATTGACTGTCTACTATTGTATTAGGCATGATACCAGGCTTAGCAATGAATAAGATGTGCTTAGTAGTCACCCATATAGACTTCACAGTTTAGGTGAAACAGGGGTTGAGGAGACACCTTTTTTTCAGAATAGAATCTTCAAAGAAAGCATTCTTATGATAATGGAAATGAATCTTAATCAAACATGCAACACAGCTTACTCATCTTGTGTATGGTCTCTCTGGAGGGTTACCCATAATCTCATCAGTGAGGATGGATTATCTGCTCCCCTCAATACTTTGCTTTCACTTCGTGTATGAGTGTGTGTTCCTAAGATCTTATCTGAAACCATCTCTAAAATATGCACTTTCTTCAGTGAGGTAGTACAGTCTTCTTTCTTAGGTACTTATTCTCCTGAAATATCTGTCAGTCACATGTAGATTTACAACTAGACTGGGATTCAGAGATTATTTTCAGTGTCTGAATAATAATTTCTGATGAATTGGGGCATTCAGCAGACAGCTCATTCTACAGAGGTCCTTAAAGAGGGGACAGCATTATATAATGACCATGAAATCATCAGAATGATGAGGTTTAAATCCTTGGGTGAATTCCTTGACCTCTCTGAATATCACTTTCCTCATGGTAATGCTATATACCTTACAGTATTATCAAAGCTTATATATTTCATGCAAAACAAATGAAAACATGTTGGTCCTGTCTTTTTTCACCTGAATCAAAACATGCCTCCTAACTTTCCCTCAATACCTTTTGTTTAGGCATCTGAAACTATTATATTCCAGAATAAGCATGCTTCTATCTCCAAATTCAAGTATGTGAGAGCAAACAGTTTTCTTTTTTATTTAATGTATATGTGGTACATGTATGTGCACTCGTATGTTTGCGTGTGTGTGCGTGTGTGTGTGTGTTCAGGTGTGCGCATCCCTGTGATCATGTGGAGGCTGGAGGTTAACTATCAATGTTGTCCTCCATCACTCTCTACCTTAGTTTCTAAGAAATGTTTACTGAACCTGGGGCTTGTCATTTCAACTAGAAAGGATGGTTAACAAGTCCTTGGGATCTCTCTGTCTCACTGCCCAGCTCTGTGGTTACAGATATACACTACCACACCCGGCTTTAAATGGGAGCTGAGGATCTGAACTGAACTCAAGTCCTCATGCTTGAGCTGCAAGTACTTTAGTCATTGAGCCATCTCCCCAGTCCTCATCTTTTTGTTAAGGACAACTCCAGATATAAGGAAACACAGTGATTCTAAGTAGCATGCTAAGTGGCAGGTGTCTGGAAAATCCTTGCCCTAACAGTGCTGGTAAGGGCAAGACACTGAGTGAAATTTAGTCATAGGGCTTTTGCTCAAACACTACTTGATCTTGTTTGAGGATACTGTATCTAGAAGTGGTAGTTTTTAAAGCTGTGTTACACATTCCCTGGTGGTACATGACGACTTTCCTGGGATCATTTGGGCATGAATAATCTTAAAGGATTTGTAGGTCCTTAACTTCCATACAGTTTTTTTTCCCCTAAAAATGACTTTCTCTAGGTTCTCTTTTTAGACACTCTCACTTCAGAAAAGACACACACATACACACCTCTCTTCTCACTGAATCATACATGCAATGACTTTAGAGGGATTATGTGAGAGCAAAGTGGGAAACAGTAAAAGACCATTTTTTATTTCACCCAGGCAATATACTCTTGGCAAGGTAGCATGCTTTATCTGTATGTTCTACTAAGATTTAAATTCAGAAGATAGCTGTTGCAAGGTGAATACCAATATGTTTATTTGAATTGGAAAAAAAATGAAATCAAGCTTGAGCTAACAGAAAGCAAGTCTGGTTTGGCTAGGTGGTCTGGCTATAAGAACTGATTTGTCAATTCATGCAAACAACATGAGGTCAGCAGTCACATCCTTGTAATTAAGCTAAACGTGACATATAACTTGAGGAGTTAACCTGAAAAAGAGCAAGGAGGCTCTTACTTTTCCTTAAGTTCCTTTAAGGGATGCAAAAATTTAGTGAAAGGAATTTGGAGCTCCTAAATCCTGACTGGATAGTGATGTGAGATCTCATGCCTCCCTGGCTAGGATAGGATTTGTAGTTACAGAAACAGGTCAAGGAGTCCCACTAGAGAAATGCTTTCTGTTGCTATGGCAACCGTGAATGTGAATTGTCAGAAGTATACTACAGCAAGCTCCAGTCACACTAAGCCCTAAACACCTGCTGACAGAGGGAGTATGGTGCAGAAGGGTTTCACTGCCTGGTAATTTTTTAGTTAATTCATATAGTTAGGTGGCTCAGCTTCTATCCCCAGAGCTAGAGGAAGTTAACAAATGAAGTGGCAGGAACTCTGAATTCACAAGCTTAGTAATTTCTTTTCCTATGCATGTAATACAACTTAATTTGATTTGGCAACACTTGTGTCTGAGTTCTTGGCTATTTATTAATTAATCATTGCTATAAAAGGATTATTTAACTCAAGAGAATAGAGAAATTAAGAGGTATTGACAGGGGAGGAAGGCTAGATTCAGTTAGGATTCAAAAAGACAGATGTACTATTCTTCAAAAAGAAGCTTTGAGCTTTCAGTATGTGAAGAAGCAGTTGCCTAGTTCCAGTAAGTATGTCAGCTCTGCTGGGGAGGTGGACCATACACTCTGATCCAGGGACCTTCCTCCATGAGACACACTCACTTGCCTCTACAGTGTGGGCAGAAAGCAAGCAGGCTATTGTGGTGCTCTACCTAAGGCATGGTAACTTACTAGTTTTCAATCTGTGAAACTAGTAAGGTATAAATATGAAATAAAGCAAAATGTTCCTGGTTTATCCTGGGTTAAATGAAAAGAATATGAGAAGACTACTATTCTAGTTCTGTTTCTGCTATGTGA